TTTAATTTAAAATACTTCTACCTCACATTTCTCCTCACAAAGGACCCAAGGCGGATTATACCATTGAAAGACCATATTTAAAGTTAAAAAACAATAAGGTTGCAAATATTAAAAAAGAAATGAACCAACACCAGTCTGAGAAATGGTAAACACAAGCAGTGCTAAAAACACAGTCAAAGCGGTAAGGCGTAGCAGTCCCTCTAAAACTCTCGCTCAGTCACTCAGGGAAAGCTTGCCTGAAGAGAAGGGGTCTTTGCCTGTTTGAGAAAAAACAGTGAAGATGGTGCCAGTCTGGCCTCCTGTGGGAGGGAGTTCCACAGACTGGGCGTGACAACAGAGAAAGCCCTCTCCTGTGTCCCCATGAAATGCACCTGTGAAGGTGATGGGAGGGTAGCAAAATGCAGTAGAATGTCTCAGCTACCTCTGCCCTTGGTGTGAATGTCACACGAGTGTAATGTAATTATTACATAAGCTGCGAGATTAGCAAAATCCTTGTCAACATGGCACGGTTGGGTCAGAGAGCAGTTTTTCCTCCATAAAATATAATGAGGTGAAAAATGCACCACCGTTAATAAGTTCTCACCTAGAAACCGAAGGTCTAACTTAACGGCCAAAGGACTGAATATAGCTTCTTTGCAGTGGGCTAGAGCAGATAAATGAATCTACTTCTGTGTGGTTTGGGAGCAATTTCTTCGTTATTTGGATCTCCTGGTTTTATTCCAACAAGCTTGAGTGGAACCGAGACAGCTTTTCTGACCGAAGTGGCTCAGTGAGTTTCTGAGTGGAGATTTGAGTTCAGATTCCTAAGCCATTACTGTAACCGCTTTGCCACATTGCCTTTGAAGCAACTTTCCTTTTCTGAGCTTTGCTCTGCTGGGTAGAAGCTTTTCAAGATTTCTTGCGGAGGTCCTCCATTTCTTTTTTAAACCTGATGATTCCAGTGATTGGACCCAGGACGAGCTGCATGCCAGTTTGGTTGAGACCTTGGATTTTTTTTGGTTAAGGATATGCATGTTGATTTTATTTTTAAGGATAAATCCCATGGAAATTAGATTTCCACATGTAAATATCTGGCAGGTCTGGAAGCAACAGAGGTGCTCAAGATGAGCAGGTGGAGCGATAATTAATTTCTAGCACTACGTTTGAGTGCTAAGAATTGGACCATCGGAAGCCAAAATCACCTTACCACACCGGGATTTGTGATCACGAGTTCCCGTTGGTTACTTTAGAAACTTTTACCTCAACTAAATCAAACTCTGGGCCACACCGTAGTCTCAAACCCTTGGTGTGAGGATCCCGTACACGTGATGCAGATGCTTTCTGCCTCTTATCGAAACACATGTGATGAAGACACCAGAGGTCCTTGTGAGCAAAACGACAAGTAATCCTTCCTCATTTTTTAAAAAAGGAAGATAATCAGTACAGGGTCTCATACATGCATGGCTTGGACCATTGTTACCTTGAGTGTAGGATCATTGACCATCGAAGGTATTAAACAGCCCACGTGTTGATTCAGTTGAATGTGGGCCCAAGGCCAACTGGATATTCAAACCAGAATGGACTCACTGAATTGGCTGCTGAATGATAAGTTTAGTCGCTATGTACATCCCATTAAATCGACAGATCTACTCTTCTTAGGATGGCCAATTAGATTCATCGTCTTTCAATCTTATTCTTGGTTCATGTCAGAAGCGATCCAGTAGTGCTTCTGGAGGAGAAGGATCAGCCCAAAGGCTGCTGCAACTCTCCAGGGGATGCCCACGTGTGTCTACAATCCTCATATTCTTTTGGGAGACTCCTTCCATGTCCGCTACAATACAGTGGTGCCTCGCTTTACGATTGCCCCGCATTACGACAAATCCACTCAACGATGATCTTTTTGCGATCGCAGTTGCGATCACAAAATGATGGTCTAAATGGGGGAATTTCGCTTTGCAATGATCGGTTCCCTGCTTCGGGATCTGATTCTTCGCAAAACGGCGTTTTTCTTACAGCTGATCGGCGGTTTCAAAATGGCCACCGGGTAATTAAAAATGGCTCACCACTGTGTTTAGGGATGGATTCCTCGTTATACAGGTAGTGAAAATGGCTGCCGTATGGAGGATCTTTGCTGGACGGTGAGTTTTACCCCATTGGAACACATTGAATGGGTTTCAATGCGTTTCAATGGTTTTTTTCGCTTTACGATGTTTTCACTTAATGGCAATTTTCCTGGAACAGATTATCGTCGTTAAGCGTGGCATTTGATGCCTTTGATGTCCAAAGTGGGATTGGGTTCTCATGTGTGGTCATAATCCTGTTGGTGGCATGAAATATTTTCAGGTTGTTCCGTTAATATTGTCTGTAGAAGCAACTGCGCGTTGAGATAAACAATCAACTGTATTACCACGGATGACTTTGAACCTGTACTGAACTCAAGTCTACAGGGAGCTTACGTTTTGAAAGTAGATTACCCAAATATGTTTGAGTCTGTGCTACATAAATAGTGAGCCATGCTACGATGCTGAGATCAGAACATTGGGCACCCTTTGATTCAGGAGGACTCGTGGGCAAGAGATATTACCTGTGGCTACAGATCGACAAAGCAATTTGTGACCCTCTGAACTTTTCTGACTTAGCCAGGCTTGACATGCAGAACTACCCAACCTGCTGGATTAGGAAACAAATGGTCATTTCAAAGAGCTATTTATTGCTCCTGTGTTCATCATCATTCTTGAAGGAACCATTTTGTGAACACTGTGGAGGTTGCCCCTCTATGTATTAGGAGATGCTGTTTTTTGATAGACAAATTTCTGATAGAGTGGGAAGAAGATGATGCTGGAAAAGAAAAGATGTGAATCACGCACAGCAACCATTCTCTTTTCTGCTTATAAACGGGAGGAAGAGCTGTCATTTTGGGGGAGAATGAATGACATGCTGGCAAGTTCAGTTCTCCCAGCCTGGCCTGCCTTAAAGGGTTATCGTTGTCAGGGTAGAGCGGGAGGGATGAGAACCATAAGTCCTGCTGTGCTCTCAATGAAAGAAGGGAAGGCTATCAATAGAACCAACAGCTAGTCAATGTGATCCAGTGTGGTGGAGTGAAAACCGTGTCACATTTAGGCTTGGAAGACCTAGGTTGAGATCTGTTCTTGGTCATGGAAACTCACTGAGACATGATAATGGCAAAACCACTCCCCGAACATCTCACATACCTTGGAAACCCGATCAGCGTTGCCAGAAATCAGAAGTTGTTGATAGCGCGTAACAACAACAACTACTATGAAACAATTGGATACACCCTAGCAAAGTGCAGTGGCATCCTCTTCCAGGCAAGAGAGGATGGTTTGCTCCCTAGAAGACCAATGGAAGGTCTCCTTTATTCTTCATTCTGATATAACCAGTTGAAAGTTTTAGAATCTGGAGAAATTTCTTCAACCCCTGGGTGTGATCTGTACATGTAAATCCGCTCTCTTGTTTAGATAGTTCCACTCATTATTTGACCAAGCCGGGTCTTGTGTGCTTCCAGGTATGAAGCATTGGTCCAGAAGTATAGGTCACTAGTGATGTAGTAAGCCTGCTTGGTGTCAATGGGTAGACACACTCACAGTGGTCACATAAATATAGCCTCAAGAAGCTGTCTTATCCTATTGTTGTTCCCTGAAACACCTTGGGTATATATGAACTTCAGATAACTGCCATTGCTGTTCTTAACATATTGCATTTCCTGTGTTTACGGCGACCTTCATTCATAGGACATCACCAGCTTGCTTCATACCATCTACGAAGTAGTGGATGCTTCAGTAAATCATTCGCCGAGCTCCAGTAAAACCTTGCGGGTGAAGCTCACCGTGGCTCCAGATGGGAATCAGAAGAAGAAAAGTATTCTACTCAACCATGGTGGTAAGTGTTGGGTTGGAAACCTTTCAGCTTCCAGTGTCAAGGACCTGATTAATCAACTTGCTACTCAGAAATGTATTCTACTTTTAGTGCTTCATATTTTGAATGAAGCCTTGGGCATATTGGATGTCCACATCTCAGACAGAGGGACTTCCCCATGATCTGCTATTGAGTTTTTTTTTAACTGGAAGCACCAGGGTTAAACCTGGCAGGCTGTCTCAAACATCAAACTGTAGTTCCTCACCTTTCCTGAGAAGTTTCAAAAAAATTGGTTACAGCTACTTGGGAATTAGATATTTGCAACTTTGGATACCTGATTCCAGGTAAATTAGTTCACCAGAATATAGCTATCTGCTGGAGTTCATGCTTTTAAACATTAAAAGGCAGTTCTCAGTTTTCTAAATGGTTTTTTTTAAAAACTGCACACTTAAATATAGAATTGCAAACTAAAGGGAGGTCATTGAGTAGGAGTGAACGCAAATGGCATATAACAACATGATTTATAGATCTATCTCTCGCTTAGAGCTTTACACTTCCCTTTGTTCAAATGGAAGATCCATGCATGAAAGAAACTGGCTGAATTAGTGGGGAGCCAGTAGACAGATAAAGAATCCAGGTGTTTTTCTCCCTTCTTTTCTAGAGCAACAGGCAGATTGATACTCCGAGGCTAGGTCACTTCCTTTTCCTTCCAAACCGAATGCCCATATCTTTTATTTTCATTAAGTCATCACATGTCTATCCTCCCTTTCCTCCAGGGAGCTAAACGCAATGTGCAGAGCTCCCTCCCTCCTCTCTTCAGCCTCATAACCCACTCTATTGTAAGTCTGGGAAACTGTGACCAGCCCAAGATCACCTACTGAGTTTCATGTCTGAGTGAGAATCCGAATGCAGATCTCCTGCATCCCCAGCCAAGACTTTAACTAGTGTACGAAACTGGCTTACTACTGGATAACCCAGTGGTTTAGATCTATGGCTGTAGAGCCAGAGGTTGGGAGTTTGATGCCCCACTCGGCCTCCTTGACAAGGATCTGGACTTGATGATCCATAGGGTCCCTTCCAGCTCTGCATGGTGGTGATGATGATCCTCTGTGTAGGTGATGCTAGATGTAATTTTCTGTTCCCTCTGCATTGAGGGGTATACAAGGCCCATTTGTTCCATATAATAACATCAATCAGAATGGGGGCAATAACTCAATTCTTTTGTGTCCTGGGGGCAGATCTGCAGAGCTCAAGGCACCGAATGGAGAGCAAAGGGAACGAAGAGCCGAGGCACTGTGAAAAGAAGCAAAGGGGTTCCCTCAGGTAAGCATGAACCGAAGTCTGCATTTATCTCCTGACCAGGGATCTTTCCAGCAGAGGTGTCTAGGCAGCCCTGAGAAGAGTCAGGTTCACGTTTGAAAATGACATTCAGCATTTATTGTGGGCCCCTTGACATTACTTTTTAGGGACATGGTGGCGCTGCGGGCTAAACCGCAGAAGCCTGGGCTGCAGGGTCAGAAGACCAAGCAGTCGTAAGATCGAATCCACGCAACGGAGTGAGCGCCCGTCGCTTGTCCCAGCTCCTGCCAACCTAGCAGTTCGAAAGCATGCAAATGCAAATAGCTAAATAGGGACCACCTTGGTGGGAAGGTAACAGCGTTCCGTGTCTAAGTCGCACTGGCCATGTGACCACGGAAGATTGTCTTCGGACAAAACGCTGGCTCTATCGCTTGGAAACGGGGATGAGCACCGCCCCCTAGAGTCGAACACGACTGGACAAAAATTGTCAAGGGGAACCTTTACCTTTACCTTTACCTGACATTACTTTGGTGATCAGAAATGGCTTCCCTTGTTTTTGTTCGTGTGGTTGGAACCACGAGATGACGCTGTCTGGGACAGAGCACCAGCTATGTGCTTCTTCTTGCTCTAACTCAAGATGCGAACAGCCAAACTATCTGGGTATATGGAGCAGACATATCCCATAATTAACCCCATCCTCATTCATGTCATCAAAAAAACAGAAGAGCTGCAAAACAGATAATGGTCTGCTGCCGTTTCATGCTTCACTTTGCCCAACGGTAGGACCAGACTTGCTTTGTTCCACGTTGCCGACAGTGGTTGGTTCCCAACCTTGAGTCCCTCCAGATGTTCTTGGACGAAAACCCCCATCAGCCTTCCCCGCTAGCTGTGCTGGCCAGGATTTCTGGGAGTTGTCGTCCAAGAACCTTTGGGGACCCAAAGTTCGGACCCACTAGTGTAGAAGCTTCAGGTAATGTGGGCATGCTTATGAAGCATGATCTTCCTGCCTGATTTTGTAGAACCCAACTAGGTGGCCATGGCATGAGAAGGGCCTTCAAAACTGGACTTGATGATCTAGAGGGCCCCTTCTTGCCCTACACACTGCTAAGAGATGAAGGCAACGAGGTTTTTCCCCCTCAAAAAACTGCACATATTCCAGACTTATGCTGAAAACCCATTTTGAAATTGGATGCAAAATCTCTCTGAGGCCTACTCTGCCTTGAATCTCCCTCTCTCATCTTGAGGAGCTTCTTCTTGTCTGGTTTTCCTACTTTTCTCACTTACCACACAAAGGAGCAGCAAGCTAGGATTTATTTACATCCCTCCTTCTAGCCCATGTTAATCGTTAAAGGAAGATCTTGTCGGGTCCTTCAAGGCTAATGAATTTATGGCAGAGCAAGCTTTTGTTGGGGGCAATGATCTATACAAAGAGTAAACGATACTTTGCATGAACTGGAGGAGGAAAAAAACGACAGCGGTGTGTGCTCTAAAATATGTTTTTAGAGATACCCTTCAGAGAGGAACTTAAAAAAAAAGAAGGAAAGAAAAAGTTTCTACCTCCCCCCCCTTCTTGTGACTCAAGGGTGCATCGGTTTTCAGTAAAGCACAGAACCAGTTTTCTGTTTTATGCACAGCTGCAGGTATTGTTCTAGCCTTGAAAAGATTAGATAAAACAGCCTTATTTGAAGTTCTGGCTCCCCGAAGGAATGTGCAATATTATTTAGGATGCCAGTCTGGGAAAGAGGCCTTGTTTTTCTGAAAAACATCTTGTCATGTTGTTGGCAAAGATTAGGAGAGAGAAGCGTCGGGCGAATCTTCGGTATCGGGCCTTTTCATCTGCTCGATTCATGTGTTTTTGATGTCTATCCTGTCGTATCCTCAGGACATTGCGCAGGTAACGACTCATTAAAAGAAAAAAAAAGGAAGGAAGAATAGAGAAGAGAAAGCGACAGGATGAAATGGCCTAATGCCCGTTTGCCGTCTCGAAAGGCAAAGAGTGGAATGGATTGAAATAATGCCCCCCATTTGCTTTGTCTGGCTTTTAACAAGTACAGTTAAATGGGAGGAAGGGAAAACATAGGCAGCACATGTACAGAGCATCCTAGAATGAATGAGGTTTTCGTGATCCACTCTGGAGAACCGTCTCCAGTTCTCTTCTCGCTCTATGAACATGGAGCCAGGGATGGGTCAAGGGCAGGTGTCCCGATCATCATTATCTTAGAACTGCAGAGCTGGAAGGGGCCCCTAGGGATAATCAAGTCCAACCTCTGTCAAGAAGGCCCAGTAGATGACCGAACTCCCAACCTCTGGCTTTGCAGGCAGAGGCCTTACCGTGATCTATACTGACTAGGGCTAATGGGATCTATAGTCCAGTACCATAGGTCTATAAATACATTGATAGCACAAAACAGGAAAGAGTCCTGGACTTAACAGAGCCAACAGGGGAACAGACTTTATAGAGTTTGATGACAACGACGACGATGATGGTGATGATGCTCTCCCCATCTGCAACCTTGCTTCATTTTGCAAGGCTTGACTGTCAAGACTCTGCCGAAGACTAACTGGCCAACTTGGCAAAGGGACACCTGAGCCAATGGGAACCCAGTGGAAGCTGTACTGAATCGATGTTCTTCTCGGCCAAGGGGAATTGGGAGTTATTCACGGCTACCCTCCCATGGCCAATCCCCAGTGTAATGGTGGGACATTTCTTGACATGTAAAGCAAATCTTTGACTAGATTACTACAATATGTTTCTCGAAGGGCTGCCCTTGTAGACTACTCAGAAGGTTTGCGAAGCGTATAATGTAGTAGGTAGAGCTACAGTCAGGAGAAATCACAGTGCGGTGATTCTGAAGTACATTTTATGCCCCAAACCAATTATGGCCACCCTGAAGGAATAGCATTATACCAAAATATCAAGTGGTTCTGCAGATGTAGACCTAATTTATACTTAAAAGCAGACATTATTATTCTGATAGACTCTGCCTTCGGATTCCAGGTACCACCACGGTGAGTCGAAGCCTGAACAACATGGATGCTATCGTCATTGTGTGGATGAAAACATTGAAAGGAGAAACCACTATTTGGATCTTGCAGGAATTGAAAATTATACATCAAAATTTGGGCCAGGTATGCTACATATTTGGATCTCATCCCCTTATCTTTTGTTAGAATGAGACTGCTGGCTTTCCTTCAGAATCTCACAATAGCAATTCTATACTGTCCAGTCAATTTCACTTCTCCCAAAGTTTTCTAGGTATAAAGTACCCAGACGTGGCTTACTAAAGTCCCTTCTTCTGGAGATGCTTCTAGGACTCCACATTTTGGGTATGACCATGCAAGTTATGGGGTACTGAACGCCATCGGCCAGGCATGTTCCTTGGCCACCTCACCCAAGGGGCACCGTAAGGATTTGCACTCCCCAGGCTCTATAGCCGGGTGCGCCAACTCACCGACTCATAGTAGTGAGGAGCTTAAAATATATTCAGATATATCTATGGGTGAGATACAGTGTAGCGTAGTAGACAGAGGGTCAGGCTAGGAGACCTGGTTTAGATTCATGCTATGGAAATTCATTGGGGGTAGACCACTCTTTGGACATCTTACGTACCTACTTGGGTCAGAAGTGATGGGACAGCACATAACAGCAACAATAGTGTGTACTGGTGCATTTAGAACCCAGTGAGAATAATACTTACATATATGCTCCATATGAAGTTATCATTCAGCCTAGCAACACCTGAAGGACAGGTATTTTACAACCTACATGCAAGATTAATCGGGTAATCAACTTGGGTTGTATCCCTGTACCTATGTGGGAGTAAAGCCGTTCGAGATCAGTAGGGTTGATATCTGAGCAGGCTTGTAAAATGAAAGAGAGTTTTGACAACTGTTCCTACTTGATGTTTCTCAGGATCTCCACCGGCAGCTCAAAAGCACCATCCTCCCATCCGAGTTTCCAATCAAACAAGGTCTCGGTCCCACGAACCAGAAATCTTCCATGCCCACCAGCGGAGGTCCCCGGCGGCGGATCCGGGCCCCGTCAATTTGATGGAGGCTTCTTACGCGAAGCTGGCGGAGATACAACAGAGGCTCCGGAGCCATGACGTGAACAGGCACTTTGCAAAGTCTCCGAAGGCTCAGAGCAAAAACCCGGCGCCCGGGAACACTGGGAAAGCTGTCCGGAGTAAGCCCATTCAAGGGGCTTCTGTGCCCATGGCTTCCCCTTCTGCAAGGGTGGGTCAAAATCTCCCTTACTTGCCCATGCAGCCTCAGCAGACTTACAAGAGACACAAGCAGAGAGCGAAAGAGACTCATCAGGTTTGCAAAACCTTCCCACCGCCGGGGACGGTTCTGGAGAAAGAGCACGCCAGGGACCTGCCAGCTGTCATCTTGTACGAAGGCCAAGTTGGACAAATGATTCAGAGACATGAGCACCACCACCACCACGAGCACCATCACCACTACCACCACTTCTACCAGACATGAAGCGGAGCTGCTGCCCTCTGTTCTCGGAACCATCCTATATGAAGGAAGGACTTTGGCTGCCAATCCAGAAGGAAAGCCTTGTTCGGATGAACCTTACCGTTGCTACTCCATTAATATTCCACTAGCACCTATTTTAGGAGTTGTATGAAAACACTAAAAATTAATGGCGATAATAATATTAATAATAATAATAATAACCTAACACTATTTATATTATGTGGAACTGTATAGCTTACTTTAATAACTTGTGGACCCTTCCTTTGTGTGTGTGTGTGTGTTTTTGTTTCAGTTTGGCTTGTAAAAAGCACATGCGCATTCATTCACTCAAGAGCCAACAGCCATAGCGATCATTAGGGGTCTTCACATAAGCCTCTCGGCATGGTCAGTAGATGTCTCCAAGGGTTTTTTTGGGGGGTGGCGTGATGCAGGTGGTTCCCATCCATCTCCAGAATGAGTTGACCTCTTCTCCAAAACATCTGAGGGATGTTTGTGAGGAGCAAGTATGACGCATGCGCATGTGCGGAGAACTCGATACTGAGAGGCAACTCAGATGCTTGGTGGCTGAGTGCGCCTTTTGTAGGCTCAGAGGATTTCTTTTCATGAAAAAGATGTGGTTCTTCATCGGGATGGTATTGTGGCACAATGTTCTGGGGGTGGTTTGGGTTGGATTAGCCAGTGTGGTCCCTGTAAATCTATCTACACGTTCACTGCCTGCGTGGTGGAATGTTGTGTGAAGGCCACTCTTGCGAGCTGCGTTGGGACGCAGTCTCTTTTCCTCTGTGGTGCCAGAAAAGATGCTTCCACCCTTTATGGTGAGAGACACCCAAGCTTGTCCCGTTTACGTTGGCTCGCCGCCCACGAGTCGATCATCAGGGGAGCAATGTTCAAAGGTTCTGGACTCCGGGAATACAAACAGCTGCTACCTCTAGTATAATTCAGAGCTTCTTATTGATTGTATTGTGCTGCCAGGATGCGATGGGGTTTGATAGAGACCCGGGAGGGGCATTTTTACTTAATTGCATTCATGTTGCTTATTTGATGGTGTACTACTCACTTCTGCACAAGCTGTATCTTGATTATTAATAAGGAAATAACTGTTACCTATATTTGTCAACATGGCAACATTTTTTGATTGAATCTTTGGATTCCCTTCCAACCTTAAAAAAACACAAAAACAAATAGTTTGAAGAGCTCTTCTATGTATGGGGTAATATTTAAATATTTACCATCTCTTTTTTTACTGGTCATTGTGTGTTGGAAAATCTTTGAAATGAGAACACTCTGTTCCCAGTGCCATCACATTAAATTTTCAGAAGACCGGTGAGGTTCGAGGATCAGAACAATGTTGTCCCCAAAGCCCAAGGTGGGGAAACCACAGTAATTTATCCCTCTTCACAGTCACCATTCCTAACAATAACTACAAATTTCTGTTACTTCTGCCAGAACATGGAAAGTTACTTTCTAAAGGTAACTTGTACCCATTGCTTATATTTTTTTTCAAAATACAAGTACCCATTAGCATTACTCATTCTGCTTTTTTAAAATGTTGTAGCATTGCTCGTTATGTGTCATTACTTTTTTTTAAAGAAGAGAAACCTTTAATAAGAGAATGGCGTAAAACTTGAGGAATTCCTTTCCATGCCTAGAAATGTCCTTTAAAAGTAACTTATTGAAGTAACTAGGAAGTGTTACTCGTTTTACCAATAAAGTATCTTCATTGCATTTGTGTTAATTCTCAAGACTTTGTTATGCCCTCAGTACAACGAATATGCTATCTTACAGCAGATAAACATAGTGGTTGTTAACATATTTGTGTCAAGCTTAGTTCTTGGTTAGAGATGGGGATGAAGCGCCCAAATGGTGGTTTGTCCTGGTTTCATGGTCCGTCAAAGTTCATGGACCATGAATCTCCTCCCCGTGAACTGATGGACCACGGATCGGTTCATCGGTTCGTCGTTTTTCTAAAATAAATAGGTGACACCCCCACAGCCTGCCACCTGCCGCCTTCCCACTACCTCTGTTGCCTCCCTACCACCACAAATCTCCTCCCGGTGAACTGATGGACCAAGAATCGGCTCATAGGTTCGTCCTTTTTTTAAAATAAAAAAATAGGTGACACCCCCACAGCCTGCTACCTGCCCCCTTCCCACTACCTCTGTTGCCTCCCTACCTTGGCTGTTTCACCACCTCTGCCACCATCCGTGGTGGCCTGCTCAATGGCAGCCTCCACAGCCACTATCCACCACCGCTTGCTGCGATGGCCTTTGCCACTGTAGCCTGCCTTAATGGAATCCAGGCTGCCCTTTGCAAAGATGGCGGCTACAGCTTCCCTGCCCTAAAAGAAGCCACAGCTGCCATCTTTGCAAAGGGCAGCCTGTGCCCCTTACAGCGAGCCATGGCTGCAGAGGCCTCCGCAGCGGGCGGCAATGGATGATGGAACTGCCAGATGATGGCAGCAACTAAGGGAGAGTGGGGAAGGGGTCGGGGGTCAGCTGATCGGCGGGCCCATAGGCAGAGGGGGAAAGCCATAGGCAGAGAAGGAAGGCTAGCTTCCTATGAGGGAGGAATAAAAATGGGGCAATATCTATCCCTTTGTATTCGTCGGGGTTAATCAGCGATTTTAACAAATATCATGATTCTTTTTTTTTAATTCGTCCCTGTGTCTATTCTTGGTCTTTTTCTGTCTCTCTCCCTCCATGTTCCAAATGTTGTTGCATGTGTAATTTTCAGTTATTTGTCTCCCCGCTCCCTGGCTGTTACCCTTGATGGCATCATTAGAGGCGTCCCGTTGGCCTCATCCGGGCCTTATTGTCCAACAGCCTTTCACGGGATGTTCGGTGGATTGGGGCCAAACGGGCAGATACCTGGGATAGAATTTGCCAAGGACACCGTTTTGCCATGCCGTCTTTACAAATACGTGCCAAATGGCAATAGACCATTTCCCGGTCCCTGTCCTCTCAGCTAAAATCAACTCTTCTGTCCAGTAGTTGACTTCACCTCATAAAAATAATTTCCTCAGCTTGTGAGGAAAACAGACCTGGTTATTGTTTTCCCTTCTTTCTTCTTTGGTTTGAGAGAGGGTTGTAGCAGGAAGATGCTTTCTCACCTTCAAACACTGCACACGCTCAGGTACACTCACTTGTGTTTTATGGAAATCTTTGTGGTGTGTGTGTATGTTTAAATTAACAGTTTAAGTTTAATTAAGCTTTGGGAACACTATTTTAAAAATGCATATTTTCCTTCCCCTGCCCTGCTGCCACTTGATTTTTGGTTCTACGTGACTTACTGCTTCTGTTGGCTTCTTTTCTCGAGAAGAATGCCAATTTTGCTGGTGATTTCTCTTCCTGTTCTGCTGTTCCGGCCAAGTTCAGAAAGAAGGTTAAGGCAAGTTCCTGAGAAGTTATATTCCTATCAGGCCTTCGGTTGCACAACTGGAATGAACATGGCCAAAAAGTTGGAATCTGTACCAGCTTGCTATTCTAAGGCCCAAAAGGGGACAACGTTAACGTTATTTATTTCATACCCCATTTATCTTCTACTGAGCTGAAGACAATGTGCATAGCTCTCTTTTTACTTTATATCCTCATGTGAAGTAGGCTGAGAAATTGGAAGTGGCTCAAAGTTATTCATTAGCTGGAATCCGGTTGCTTAGCCAAAGAAAATTTGTGACCATCAGAAAAATTCTAACTTTGGGCAGCATAGGAAAAGTTGACTTTCTAAAAAAAAATGAATTTGGGGAGCCTAGGAACATTCGCAATGTTCAGAAAACTTGTATTTTCCAGCAGCACAGGAAAATGAATGCCTTTCAGAAAATTCGTGACTTTTGGCAGCATAGGATAATTTGTGACATTCCGAAAATTTGTAATTTTCAGCAAAACAGGGGGATTTGATTTTCAGAAAATGCATAACTTTTGGCAGCATAGGAAAAGTTGACTTTCGACAAAAATTGTAACATTGGGCAGCATAGGGAAATTTGATTTTCAGAAAATTCAGCAGCATAGGAATATTCATGGTTTTCAGAAAATTTGTAATTTTTCGTATCATAGGAAAATTTGGGACCTTCAGCATATCTGAGAATCACAATGGGCCTCTTTATTTGGCAGCTAGGAACAGACTGAAAGTTATGCATTTTCTTATATTAACCTACAGGATTTTGGCCAGTGAGTTTCATGGCTCAGTTAAGCCTAGATCTCCCATCTTCCAGTCCAGCATTTTAATTCCTCCATGATAATGTGTAGCTCTTTGTCTATATCTAAGGGGCTAGTTCGGTGATTCCCAAAACTGGGTCACCAGACATTGTGGAACTTTGTTGCCCAGAAGCCTCAGCCTGAATGGTGGATGCTTTGGATTTCAGGGACTGAAGTAGCATTTGGAAATGGCTCTAGAGGTAATGAACTAGAAAGAGGAGCCAACATTATGGGCGATGAACCAAACAGTTGCTGTATGAAAAATCAGTTCCTCTGCAGTGCGGTAGAAAGGGATGTTGGTTTAGGTTTGGTGAAAGAAGTAGAAAGACAAGGGGTGGCCATTTTGTGGGAGAAGAAGAATCTTGTCATGGAGAGGGTAACGTGGAACTGCTGGATAGCTGAGTGGTTGAGGTCTGTGGCTATGGAGCCCAAAGGTTGGGAGTTTGATTCCCCACTGGGCCTCCTTGCTGGACTCAATGATCCATAGGGTCCCATTCAGTTCTGCTGTTTAAGATGATGACTTAAGATGATGTGTCCTTGCGCCTCCACCATCTCTCGCTGTGGTTCTGACCATTTTATAGGAAGCAAGAAAGGGAAAAAAGGGGAATCATTTGAAGCTTTGAGAGTTTCTAATCACACACACACACACAAAACACACACACACACACACACACACACACAGAGAGAGAGAGAGAGAGAGAGAGAGAGAGAGGAAGATAGTTTTTGAAAAGCATGCGTTTGGATTTTGCTTCTAGCATCTTCTCATCTTCTAGTACTCCTGTTTTGGTTTACAATGTCGTGAAATGTTCTTATACAATATATTTTGGGTGCTGTACGTACACTGTGGAGTATTCATTCTCTCCCCTACAGCTCAATTTTTATCGGTTTGGGATGCAGCTTCGGTTTCTATCTTGGTAGGGAGGATGTGGTGTTCACAAAGATGTCAACTGCATGACGCAAAGAAATGACAAATCTGATTATCTCATAGATGGAGGCCAGAATAAGCAACCGTTGTAAATTTGCTCTTGTCTCAAAATATTGACAGATAATAGAGGTTTCCTTGGTTTTGTCCCCTTTAAAGCCTCAATCAAACTGGTTTTATTGAACTGCCATTTCCTTTCTTCAGCATTCAGCTAGCAACATCTTTCTACATGTGTTGATCTGTGCAACAGCTAGCCTGTTCTGGATATCCCTTAAATTTCTAAAATGAATCTGAATATATATTCTATGTTTTCTGTATAGGAACTCAAGGAGGGGAAAGTTGGTTAGCAATGTCTTTATTTACCACTGAGTTGTCCTAGCTTAAAACCTGTTTTGCTGCTTGTGTTATCAATCCTTTGTTTTCCTCTAGTGTATATATAATTATGGACTGCAGAAAAGGCATTTTATATGCCTTTGTAGAAGGAATAAGCTTATTTATATGATAGTGTTAAACAAAGTCTGATGTATTCGTGTGATTTTTTTTAATTTTATTTTTTTGTTATACAGCATGCTAGCTCATGAGTGTAACACATTCCATTGGAAGAGAGATGCCATCCCTTTAAGTTCCTAAGAAAATGGTGTTTGCCTCTCTCTGTCTCTCTCCCTTTCATTCATTCATTCGCTCGTTCTTTCGTTTGTTCGTTCATTCGTTCGTTCATTCGTTCATTCATTTGTTCGTTCATTCCACAACTGATTAGGCTACCTGAACAAGGCTGAAGCATAGATACGTTTCTGAATGGAAGAGAGGGGGATGTTGAAAATGCTTCATATTTGGGACAGAATAATAGCGGGCTTTGGATTGTTTGACCAACATTGTCCCTAGTCAACGGAGGCTGGTGACTGACTTCGGGGGGGTGAATCTGTTCTGACCTGTTACAGGAGATATTCAAGGTTCAGAACCCTATCTTCCACATAGGTTCAGCCCTTTGGAGAGCATCTTTAAAACTCAGACTGAAACCCAGTGCCTCCCTTGACACTGGGGTCACCAGCTGTTGTGACTCCTGTATCCTGTCTGGAGGCAATGGGGCAGTTATTCCAGAGAACGGTGGAAGTCTCAGTCCCAAAGGGCTAGATCCAGTTGTCAGTCCTCCTTGGCATACACTTGTGGAACCAATGGGACACATATATAAGTGCTGAGTTAATAAATCCCATTGATTCATTTAGTTTATTCAATTGGGACCTACAAAGACCAAGATTTCTGGGGCTGGTTCAAATATTAGCTGAGTTTGTTCGGGTAGCGTTGATCTAACCCTTTTAAGATTTTATTTTACTATATGAAGCTCACTTTAAAAGAGTGCTGTTGTATGGGATGAAGTGCGACTCTGTTAGGGATAAAGGATTTTCTGTACTTT